AAGTGGCTGTGCTCCTGCTGGTAGGGATGCCGGGGGATCCGTAAACTAATTCCTTCCCCCGCGCATTGGCTTTGTCGACGATTTTTCGCTGAAACAGCATCTAAGGCTCTTCGAACTATGTGATATCTCACACCAGGTAAATCTTTCCTTTCCTCTGACTCTTTTAGTGCCTACATTGATTGTGGAGGTCTCTCGGGTGTCTACGGCAGATCCGATCAGTCTCGAAGAGAAGTCAGTCTTGCCACTAAGAAAGGTCTCGTCACGACCAGGTAAGACAGGCTTTGGATGTTTATGCTACCATCTCGAAGTCCATTCGTCACAAATTGGAGCCTAAGGCTGGCTGATTGCTGCATTTTTCTCGGGTACAGTGATGATCATAATTCCGATGCGATGCTTCTCTCTGTGCCGTCGTCGAGTTTTCATTTCTCGCCGCGCCAAACAACGGGATCGTACTCACTTCTCACTAATGGATCGCCTGGAGTTCTTTCTCGCCAGGTGGAAAAGCGTGTACAGATTTCCTCCCCTCCCCAACCAAGGGCTTTTTCATTCCGAGCCTCATTAGCGTGCTCGTCTGCGAGCTATGCTGGTTCTGTAGAGTAAAGGCGCGCAACAACGAGAGAGAGAGGCGGGCTTGGCGACCGAACGATCCGCGTCACGGCTATTCCTTCTGTACTACAGTTCGGTGGAGGAACTGTAAAAGAACAATTTCAATCCGTGCTCTAACTCGACATATTCGTCTTAATCATTTTCGAAATATTCGTATTAATCTTCTACTTCTAAATCTTCGACATCTTCAGCGGAATCTTCATCTTCTCCAGTTGATGATGCATATTCATATTGAACTTCAACCAATGTCACTTGCTCAACAACTGCCTTCTTCCACAGTAGCTTCCTCTCCATCCTGAGGCAAATAACATTTTGTCCATTTCTTCTGCGTCTGTTGATGATGCTGAAGCGGATTTCACTTCAACGGGTACTGGTAGATTTCCACTGGCACAGCGGCACTTCTGGCTTAAAGGCTTGCTTTCCTGGCTCCTTTCAAAGGTAGGCTTATCGCCGAGGACAAACCAACCGATCTACGCTCGAACCTCCTTAGAATACTGACTGGTCAGAAATAGGTTATCCACCGACAAGAGAGGGCTCCACTACGAAGGGACGAATATCGTTTCACATCTGATGAAATTGAAACAACAAATCTAATGTAGTTTCATCGTCTTGTAGATGTACTTAATAGATGCACTCAAAGTGTTCGATAGAACCCAAGGCAAAAGCAAAAAAAAGGTGCTTTTCGGTCACCATTGGCTTGGGGCGTCCTCTCTCTAACTGAACAACTTCCAAGTCAACCTTCTTTGCTTAAGCGCTTCTCTTCTCTGGGCGCATGCTCTCCCATTGGGAATTTTATACCCTTGTACGAAGGGCTCTGGCTCTATCAATCAAAGGAAGGTCTCTATCAATCAAAAGACCTGTCACTCTCCATGTTGGAATCACAATCGTTCAAAGAATAACATGAATGAAAAGCCCCATCCATCCGGAGTCAAAGCTATAGGTTTTTTCACCCTGTCTATTTGTTGTCCTCCTATTTGTCCTCCACGAAAGTAAGCTCGACTCACTTCAAGCCTCGTTGTTTTCACGTTCCTAGTCACAAGACTACTTTTCTTGGGGTAAACGTCATCCCCTTATCCCTTATAATTATAATATATAATATAAATAGCCTAGACAGTGGGTCTTCTCAACAATATGGTGGTTCTGCCCCCTCCGTCGGATATTATTGTGATCTTGCCCAATGCTCCTCTTCTAGCGACTCGACACCAGAGACCCCGAAAGGGCGCCAAGACTTGACTATACGCCTGGGAAAGAATATTGGTCCTCCCTATCAATTGGCGAGGCCTCACGTAGTACGCTTCTTTCCTTCCGAACTAGGAAAAGGCAGTTATGACATCACTTTGAGTTCTACGCCACCTCACTGACTCAGAAGTAGTGGGAGCCAGGCGCTCAGACTTGCTTTAATAGCTCCCTCACTCGTCGATCGGGAACGAGACTGAAGTGATCCCGAGCGGAAAGGAGGACCCCGACCCCTAATTCGGGGGCCGAGTTCGAATAATATGCACAAATATACACTGAGCACTCGAACATAGTAATAGGGAGGGGTAACGACTAGGGAGTTGGAAGACGAACATCTTAACAGTGATTTGGTTGGAAGACATTTGTGCTAGTTCAGTTCTTCTGATTCAACAAAGTACTCGTACTCATTTAGTAGAGTTGTTGACCATAGATAAGGAATGGTACGTACGCACGTATAACATCATATCATGCTGCCTTTTTCTTTCTCATTCCCAAATAAAGCATCTTTGCCCACTTACCGGCCTCGTTCGTAGGCCTAGCCCACTACCCCACCTGACTGACTTGTCTCAGAAGGTACTGTTTCAAGTTGTAAAACCACTCCGTTACCTGAGGGAGAAGACGAAAGCACAGCCATACGGGGAGGTTCGTAAGGCCAGTGAGGGCGAGTGAAAGGACTCAAGCAAGGCCCATACCATCCGGTCACGTCTCTTGGTCCGAGGGGGCGCCTGAAAA